ATCGGCAGCCGAACCGGGAATTGGTTAGTGTTTTATGATCCTCATAATTAATGTGATTTTATGGTATATTTATCTGAAAACGGATTAGGTATGATTAAATTAGATTAAATATTGATGGAACGCAAGAGTTAGACTTATTTACAACCTTGCCCTTGAGTGGGCCACTACCTATACACCTTGAGTTCATTATACTTGAATCAAAACACATCTTCCTCAGCCTTATTACTTGTTCTTGCTGACCTTGAGGGAGAGAGGGAGAGAATAGAGTTGTCCTTGAGGGTTTGGCTTAGTCAACTTGAAGAATTGCTTGGTAATTGAAGGAATTGGAACATAGGTTGCAAATTTAGCTTCCTCACCTTGTAACTAAAGCTCTAGGTAAGGATTTCATCTTCTCATTCTTGTGTTTGAACTAATTCTTGCATGGTCCATGTTAAATTGTTGAGTTAAGTCTTGTTTTAGTTCATACATGTAGGATTGGAACATAATTCGTGCTTGCATGTTTGAATTGTTGAGTTGTGAGTTGAATTCATGGCAAAAAGGTTACATGCATGTTCATAATTATGTTAAGTCCATGGTTTCACCATGTTTTGAAAAGAATTGGCTCCTTAGAGCATCAAATTGGAGCTTTAAAATGGTTTGAATTCATGCATGTTTGCATGTTCTTCTTATTCTTGAAAAATGGTTTGAAATTGGGTTTCAATTAAACACCCTTGGGCTTGATTTCTCAAATTGAGCTTTGAACCATGTTATTCTATGTGTTTATAAATGTTTTCCAGAAAATAGGCCCAAGAGGATTGGTTTTGATGCATTTGAACGTGAGTTTGAGCTTGGAGGTGCAATCTGGGTTTCCTAGATTTTGTACTTACGCTCGAGCGGGGAAAGTGGCGCTCGAGCGTGGAATCCGAGCATCCAGCATCTCTCTGCACTGTTTTACAGTCCGCTCGAGCGGAGGATTGGGTGCTCGAGCGGAGTCATGTCTCAAGCTCGAGCGGGCGTCGAGCAGAGATTTCACCAATCCAGTACTTTTACAGTACGCTCGAACGGGAAAGTTTACGCTCGAGCGTGTACCTTTGTTGCATGACCGCTCGAGCGGGAAAACTTGCGCTCGAGCGGGACTCTGTTTTTCTGAAAATGCTTTTAAATGTGCATCTTTGCATCCTCATCCCATTCTAGGCATTCTTAGGCCTAGTTTAAGACATCTTGTTGAGGATATAGATGTAGAACACACCGAGGCATTAGGGATTAAGTTGTTATCTTCCCCAACTGTGTAGCTTAGTGTGTTCAATCTGTTAACTGTGTAGGGTTGGCGACTGGGGAGACACGCTCTAGCATACTGTAGCCCAAACTCTGTGAGTAACGATTGTGTAAAGATATGTTCACAAATGATTATCTTCTGAACAACTGAACTGTACTGTTTTCTGAACTGATTACTGTTAACTGAATGAATGTATGTCCTATATTCTGAACTATATTGTGGCATCCTTAGCACCTACTGTTTACTGTTACTGCGACAGAATTCTCTGTCGGTTCCCTCGTTGGAACCACCACTGTTTACTGACTGATGGCCATCATTACTGTTCGGTCTTTTAAGACCTATTGTTTACTGTACTGTTATGCTAATGGGTGTACCACATATGACTGTACTGCCTGAATGACTGAATACTGTTTAAATGTTTAAATGAACTGTTTTCATACTATAAGGACATTCATTCTTAACCTCTTTACGCACTATGTTATTCACTGGGCTTTAGCTCACTGCTCATATATATATGTAGGTGTACAGGCACGAGACTGCGGCTAGGAGCGTCAGGGTAACTCCAGTTTTGTCAAGCCAGCCTATGTGCCTCACTGCGAGGTTCCGAGCCTATCGTGTTAAGGCTTAGGGGTGTTTTACAATTCCCCCTTCTGCACCATCTTACTGTTTTGTATAGACTGAATGTTTACCGTACTGTTTTATAGGGTTGAGTCCCTAGTCGGAATGATTGTAAATATTGCGCATACTGTTCTGTACTGGTTACGTATAAATGTATGAAAAGTCTTTTTGCATACAGACTGTCACAGCTCATTGGGCATTGTTTATTTACTGTATTGGCTTCCGCCAGGCCCTGTACTCTGTTTTACTGTACTACTGTTCTGCAGGCCTTCGGTAATCTCGGATTACTGGCCGGTTACGGTGCTAAACCCATAGGGCCGGGTTTGGGTCGTGACAAAAAACCTAAACAATCATAAAGGAAATTGATTGGTTACTAACAAAACTACCTAGCTTGGATGGTCATGTACTTGTCTTGAATTTGATCATATACAAACAATTTGTTTCTGCGATTACCAAATACAAAGAGATGAGTCCTTCCCCTTTTCTTTCTTCATCACCATTTCGGTAGAGAGATAATTCCCTTCAAGTTCAACAGAAAAGAACTATAAGAATCCGATTATGGGTAAGTATCTCAACAGGAAAGGAGGAAAAATGTCAACCATTTGTAGCCACTGGCTTAAAAAATGTCTGATTCATAATTTTGAACTTTAGCATCTAAATATGAATTGCCTTTTATAATTTTGAAAATTACAAATATTTTATTATCAAAATTTTTTATTTAATAATTTTGAATGATGTCAAAAATATATTTCAATTAATAATTTTACTATTGTATCATTAGCGAGTAGTTAGATTTTTTATTTTATTTTTTTTGAATTCTGTTAAATAAAAAATTATAACAATGAAAAACTTGAAAGTTTTAAAAAACCACGTGAGATAATTTTTATTTTAAGTATACCTCAAGAAATGTATTGTAATTTACCCATAATAATAAAAATAAGGCCATTTAAACTTATTTCACTACAAGAAAAGTGGGTATATGAGGCGGAACTATTTGTGACGGCACACTTGCCGTCTCAAAAAGTCACTTTTTGCGACGGCAGAAAATGCCGTCTCAAAAAAGCAGTGTATTTGCGACGGCACCAATTGTCATCTCAAAAAAGCAGAGCATTTGCGATGGCACCATTTGCCGTATCAAAAAAGCAGAGCATTTGCAACAGCACAATTTGCCGTCTCAAAAAATGAGAGTATTTGCGAAGTCGCAAAAAATGACTTTCGTGTTTTTTTTTAGTGAATATTTTTAAAATTTTAAATATTTTTCTTAGATGCACCTTACTTAGATGTAGCTAAAAAAAAATTATGAAAAAATATTTGACCATATATGAACCTTGCACTTTTCTCTGTGTAAACATGAGTCTCATTGTCCAATCTGTTAATACCCATTTTAAATTTGTAATTAGTATCTTATACTCTGAAATTGATAATTTAATTACCTGCAAATGAGTTAGAAAGTTTGATTTGAACTTACGATTCTCTGAAATTGATAATTTAATTACCCATTTCAAATATTGTCATTAAAAACAAACCTAACATTATTTCTCATTTTCTTTGGTATAGATGGATGATGGATGATCTCGTGCATGAAGCTAAATTGTACAAGACTACTTGACAGTATAAGCATTTTTGGGAGGATTAAATATTTTTGGATGGATGTGTATGGATAACAAATATTAGTAGTTTTATTTGTTGATAGCTGCGCATGGATAACAAATAGTTATGTTTCAAATTGTTATACTAGATGGATGTGACTTGTGAATTGAAACTTAGAATAGTTGTATTGTGTCGAATGTCAATGAATTATGTATTTTGTCAAATGTTAATGATTCAGTTGATTTGAATGATGCTTTAAAATTATAGGTTTATTATGGATTGAATGAATTATTAGGAATTACAGGTGTATTGTTTTCTTGCTTTTGGCGACCAATTTATTAGTCGCGACAAATAAATAATTTTTTTTCGCAAAAAATGACAATTGCCAACCAAAATTTTTGGTCGCAAAAAATACGTCTATTGCCGACCAAAACAGTTCTTGGTCGTGGAATCTCACTTTTGCCGACCAAAAGTTTTGGTTGCGAAAAGTAACAAATGGCGACTAAATTTTTTGGTCGTAGAAAAAATATATTTAGCGACGAAGAAGTTTTGGTCGTGGAATGTAATTTTTTCCGACCAATTTTGTTGGTCGTTGAAAATAATTTTTGCCGATCAAATTAGCGACTAACATGTATGGTCATTGAATGTAATTTTTGCCGACCAAAGTCTTTTCGCGACTAAATAGGTTAGTCGCAATAATTATATGTTTAGCGACCAACAATTTAGTTGCCAAATAGAATGTTTTGCCGACTAAAAATCTTTTTAGTCGCTAATTACTTTCCGCGACCCTCAATTGCCAACCAACTTGGCGACCAAAAAAATTGGTCGGGAATATGTTTTGCCGACCAAAAATTAGACTTTTGCCGACCAATTTTTTGGTCGGCAAATGTGTTAATTCTTGTAGTGATTGTTCAACAGCAATGTGAACATTAATCTTATTTAATAGCAATGTGAACATCGACGTTGAGTGAATAATTACCTCGCTTAACATCAAAACACATTAAGCTTGATGAGAACTTTCACATTAACATGAACCTTGTTTTGTAGAGAACTTTAACATTAACATTAGCCTTGTTTAATACTCACGATACAACATTACATGGGCATGTGAATATTACCATTGAGTAACAAAAACAATGACAAGTCTTCATTTCCATTTAATGTTATCCATGTTTGTATTCTAGAATACACTTATATGTTTGGGTGTGTGTTGGTTTGAAAACATTGAAATAATACATTGATGTATTGTCCATGTTTATATCCCAGAATTAATGCAAATAATACATCATGTTTGTGTTCACACAAAAATGTGATTTGTGGCTAATACAATGTTGATGTAAACTTTAACTTCATCATTGCATAATGGTAATGAACACTTTGAAAACATGGTCACCACTCAATATTATATGGGTGTGTCCATATTAACACTAAGTGTGAGTAATTATATTCCAAAATTAATGTGGATCTTCACATCTCTATGTTGCATTGTGAACATTCACATCATGTTTGTGTCCAAATAAAGATTGTGGCTTGTGGTTATCTGATTGAATGTGAAGATTAACATAATTATGTTAATCTTCACAAAGATGAAAATGGGCACACTTACACCCCATTTGAATTCTAACCAATATGAATGTTTATATAGTATATTTCAATTGTTAACACACACAAATGTGGATGTTCACATTGACTACAAACTGGATTGTTAACAAGTCTATAATGAAATCGACTGACTACAAAATCGAGCTTTGAATTGTTCTCCTTCCCTTCAATCTCTAGCTAGAATCGCAATTAGAGAAGAAAACAGAGTTTCGAATCATTCTCTATCCCTTCGATCTCAACCACCAACGTTTAGGAAAAAACCCTACCACAAACAATTTCACGGAGAAGAAATGTGTCCCAGTGGTATCCTCTCCAAACATTGATCATGCAACTGCCAAAACGTAGTAGCAGAATATGAAAAATCGTATATATCCTATTGTGTGTTACATATAATCAAACTAGACAAAGGATATAATAGTCCAAAAAATATTATAAAATAGGGAAAAATGACCTATTGGGATACAAGTCTAAATGTATGGGACTTAATGCGACACAAGAAAAACTTATGGACAAATTAGGTTATAAGCACATTAAAAAAAAAAATTACCACTAGATTTTTCATTATTTTTTTCCCTTGTACATTATTCTTAAAAGTGAAACTTATAAAAAATAGTTTAATCATTTAATATTTTACTAATAAATATCTTAGTTAAGAGGACCTACGTACTAAAAAAAGCCAAATTAATCACCAAGAACAAAAATTACTCTAAATTACCTTTGCACTGGGATTTGGTGTGAGACCCCTAACTTTTGTAAACCTATTAAGTCCCTAAATTTTGAGTTGTTATAATAAAGCCCTTAGTTCTTCGTTTATTCACAAATTTAACCCTAGAATCGCAGATGCATCGCGAATGAACCCGTACAAACCCTAATTGGCTTCGATAGCTTACTAATCATTTCTACACGCTAATATTAATTATTAACTATGAGGCCCCTGACCTTTTTAATTTTATTTTGACCCTTACTTTTGAATTATTTCAATAGAGACCCTTGATTCCTTATTTGCCTTCAATTTTAGCTATAGAGTCGAAAACGCGTGCCAATTGAAAACTCGCAAACCCTAATCGATTTCAGTAACTTAGGAATCAATTTTGATACCCTAATACTGATTAATTGACTCCCTAAATGTGAATTTACCACTTGAAAACCCTAGGTTTTTTCGATCCTTATCACGTTCGTCGGTTGATCGCCTTTCTATTCGAAACAAGAAATCCAAACCTAATTTAATTTAATTTTACACTAAAATGAATGTTCAAAATCATAAATTAAATCCAAAGCCCTCACATTTTTATTAAATCACAAATTGACCCCAAACAAGTATCATTATATATATACACTTGTATCCTAAAATCTATTTTATACATCATACTTTACAAATTCCAATATTTGTACACAAAAAAATAAAATAAAATAAGTCCTTCAAATCACCATTTATGTCTGGCCATAACCTATATAGATACAATGAGTGTACTTTTGAGACAAACTTGCATGAATTAAGGAAAAAATCTTTGACCTTAGGTACAAACTTATATATATATATATATATATATGTATATATGCATTGTACTTGTAACTAGGTTGGTTTGATTAAGATAAAACCCTAACTAGATCATGCTTAAGTACTCAATTAAGGCCTCTAATCCTCTACTATTCTATTGAATTCAAACTAAATCCAAAATATCCAATCCAACTCCAACCAATGGGCATTTTGGACGTTTTACACCAATTTTATTATATAAACCACCTCTCCCTTAGCATTTTACTTACAAGAACACACACAAACACTTCATTTGGCTGGAAGAAGAGAGGGAAGAGAGTGAGCTTGGTGAAGGATAGGAGAGAAAGAGAAAGTTGCTAGCAATTTAATCAAGCCTTAAGTAAGCCACATCACCATCCCTCATTCTATTTCCTTTTTCAAATACATGTTATTAGAGATTTAAAACCACATTTTTAGATGTGTTGTGATGATATTCATGTGTTCAAAGTGAATGAATTAGGCTTTAATCCGTCTTCTATTCATATTTCCTCTTAATAGATGCAAAACTACTTTTCTTCTTCTCATATCTCACATTTTTTTTCCAAAGGCATACCATCACTCTAAAAATCTGAGTTATTGATACATTATTTAGTGTGTTTTCATCACAAAAGAAGTGAAATTTTTCCTTAGTTAGCCTCTTTTCTCACTAATCTTCTTACTTTTAGTATTGTACATGAAAAATCTGTTTTATAGCTAACTTTCAAAAATTATAGAAACATGTAGAAGAATCTTCTGGACCTCATTTTTATGTGAAAAACTTCCTTAAAGAGTTAGCTTTCAAGGAAAATTGGTTTCATTGAAAAAGAGTAAGTGGTTTGTAAGAAAATTCGATTTTCGTAACAGTCGACGAATCTGAACAGCACTGGAGTGTTTCTTAAAAAACTAAAAATCTAGAAAAGCTATCACATTTATGAAACATGTTTTGAAACTAGATTAAGTTCTCTACGAACCATAGGAAGGCCGAGTTAAGGAAAAATTTGAAATTGCCCTTTTGATTTTAATCTTTAAGTAGTACTGAATCTGAAAATTCTATTTGGCATTGGTATTTTATGCTCCTATGTTCATGAATATGCTTATTAATAAATGATCATATCTTGGTATGGTATTACATATGTTATGGGTGTATACATTTTATTTTAGTCCTTCGATGATGCTTACATCTATGCAAATTTATTACTTTGTTACTTGCTTGTACTAACCAACTTAAAACGTTAATCTCAAAGGAAAACTTAATACGGTGGCTAATGGGGTTCGATCACATGAGTATTGTTATGAGATAAAGTTATGATCAAATTGAATTGATTAGCGGGACGTGTTCCCCTTGAAAGTAAAGTCTTGCGCAAGCGGTTTTTTCAGAACCCTTGAACGGAGCGGTTGTATTCGGACCCTAGGTATTTTGATGTAAGGAGGGATGTGGGCAAGGCTCATTATTACCGTCTCTTTTGAGGCCCTGCAGTTGGCACTACACGGTAGATAATTGTTGGTAGGCATCTGAGGTAAGTTCTGTAACAAAGTAGCAAAAGAGGGGGCATATCGAATAATCTACGTCCAATTCTTGTGGTTAGGAGGACGAAGTCTCTTTGGGGGATTTCTAGATTTTTAACATCTGTAATCCTTTATTATTGAATGATTATCATGTTTCATTATTTTCTTGTTATAATTGTGATGGTGTATTGGATTAGAAAAAATGGACAGTGTGTGTGTGCGTTTACTGGGCATTTAAAGCTAATGGCGTTTCATGCCACGTATTGAAGACTATTAGACCGGTCGAAGACAAAGCTGAAGCATTTGAGGATGTATGGCCGCCCTAGGAGGATTAGAGACTAGTTTGCAAACGTGTTTTGAGATTGTAAGTGATATATCTCATGTTGTATTAAAGACATGATTTTGTAATTATTATATATTTGTACGTATCTTTTATACTACCTATTTATTATTTATTTTTTATCGTCGACTCATGTAGACCTTGTGTTAATATCTTATTAAGATTTGTCAAAAAGATAGCTTTGCTATCTAAGGTGGCTGGACTTTGAAAGGAGGCTATATTGACTCCTTCGACCTTCCTCGGATCTTACTTGGTTATTAACTAAATGACTCATTAGTGACGTTTCCTATTTTGTAATCTTAGATAAACCTTATATTTATTTGTTAATATATTCTCTAATGTTCTCTATTTTATGGCGTGTCGCGTTTGGTTCATAGATTGATTTACGTAATTTGTTTTTTTATTGTTGTAAACAACAAAAATCAAATTTATCCCATGTTATCAAAATTTATTCATATGTGATTGGTAGTTATCTATAAGCATAGTCTAAAGGGTAAAACAATTTATGACAAAATAGCATGATCACATAAGATATCATCTTGATAATTTACAGCAACAATTATTCTTTAATAAAATAATAACAAATGAAAATACTATATCAAATAAAGCAAATGATCCCATCTAAAATAAATAAATAAATAAAGAAAATTTCACTTGCAGTACAAAACAAATATACTTGGAATAACTAGATTTACAATTAAAGGAGAATTTTATGATATATAACCTTTGAGGGGTGTGTATTATATGTACCATTTATGTAATTTTTTAGGTTACTGTGTGTGCTAAAATTTGACTTGAGCACACACGATCAATAATATCTTCTTCTCTTAAAAATAAAGGAAAGAAGTTGATCTTCCAGATGAATCTTGTAGCGGTCCGAATTGAGACCCGACCTTTTCTATTCTTTTGTTTCGAGTTAACACTTGTTGTGGGTTGTATTTTATTGTGTTAGGTCTTTTTTTGTTGCCGAGAACCTTAATTTTGACCCCAAAAACTAATAAGAAGCTTGCTTGGTTAGGCTAGTTACGGTCGTGACGGTTATTGTAGCACCCGCAATGTTTTGTATCCGAGTGTTGTGCCCGCAATGGGCTGCGACCAAAATGCACCTTTAGGTCTGAGTATGTAACGAAATTATGTGGCCCGTGAAGAGCTGCGAGGTAGGCCGCAATTTGTACATTGCGCCCGCAAAAGGGTTGGTCGCGCTTGCGATGTGTCTGCTCTATAAATATCACACCAAAAAGCTGAAAATAACTATTTTGAACTCCTCTTTCTTCTCTTTTGATCCAAATCACTTTTTTTTCTTTTTTTTTTCTTTTTTAGGGTTTTTGAGTTTCAAACCTTGGTTTCATCTCTTTTTACTCATTTCTCACCCCTCGTACTTAAGACTTTAAGATAGAGGGTGTTGAGGGCCTCGTTTTAATTTGGAAAGTTCATGTTTTCGTCGCCGTTGAAATTTGAGCTTTGGATCTTTTCCTCTCCTTGTTTTGAGGTAGGGGTTTTCTTAATAATGTGCATGTTATTTAGCGTTGTTATATGCTATTATTGATAGTTAGGAGTTTGGGGAAAAAAGATAGGTTTTGGTTATATTGTATTAGTGCATTAATTGGGGGAAAAACTCTTATTTTTGGTAATGGATTGAAATTCATTAAACTCATGGTTGTTGTATAATGGGATTTTGAAGAAAATTGTGTTTTGAAAAGGAACCCCAAAACTTTGTCAAAAACCTAGAATTGCTTGGTGTTTTAGAAAATGGTATAGGAATTGTGTATGTTGTGGGATTTTTGGGAAAAGAAGACCTGGTTGAAAATATTTATAAAACCTCTGGAACTGACGAGTATTGAATACTCTTTTCGAAAGTTGAGTTTGTCGAAAAACCATACGAATGCTTTTAGGAAAAAATTGAATATGAGTGTTGTGGTTCACAAGACTCGTAAGGAGTGTGAACATTATTGTGCAAAGTCATTGAGAT